CGGAGCATGCGAGTGCACCAACGGAAGTACCTGGAGGCGTTGGCTGCCAACTTTGGCCAGAGTGAAGGTCATGTGGCTACTCCCTTTCCCTCTGGGTTCAAGTGTGTGAAGGGACCAGAGGAGGAGAGCGTTTGTGAAGACGAGAGGCGTCGTTTTCACTCGTTGGTGGGCAGCCTCATCTATGCGGCGGTAAACACCCGACCGGACGTCGCGTTTGCTACCGGGCAGCTGGCTAGGGTTGTGCAATGCCCTAATGAGGAGCAGGTAGCAGCTGGAATGAGGGTGGCCAAGTATCTTGGCCAAAAATCGACCGTTGGGCTGCAATACTCGGCGGCGGCACAAAGGCGCCAAAAGGGCGCGGATGGTGTTGAACCCGGGCGTTTGTTCCTCACCGCCTACTCGGATGCGTCATATGCATCGGAACCAGAGGACATGACAAGTGTGGGAGGCTTCATATGCTGTGTTGGTGGAGGCCCAACTGCTTGGGAGAGCAAGAAGCAGGTTGACCAAGCTTTGAGCTCGGTGGAGTCCGAGTACATGGCACTCTTCCGTGCCGTACGGGAGATTGTGTGGCAGCGGCGTTTGTTGGCTGAATTGGGGGAGGGGCAGCAAGGACCTACCCCACTCTACTGTGACAGCCAGGGTGCCATTGCTCTTGCTAAGATCCCTGTGTTGCATGGACTCACAAAGCACATGAGGGTGAAGTGGCATTGGACGAGGAGCATGGTGACCGCGGGTGAAGTTGAGTTGCGGTACGTGAAGACCATAGGGCAGCCGGCTGACATGATGACTAAGAGCCTGGTAGAGCAGCAGCATTGGAAGTGTTGCAAGCTGGCTGGGATGGCTGTGAACTGAGAGAGAAACATATCCTAAGGCCAACAATCCGAGGGGGAGTTTGTTGGTGCAACCCTACGGTTTGCACTCGGCTTGTTGTCCGTGTGCGTGCATGTGTGTGTGTATGGAATGGTATTAGGGCATGGGAAAATATATATTTCATGCTTATAATTGTGTGTGAATGTTGAGTCATGATGTCGAGTGTGTGTGTCGAGTCAATAGCGAGTTATCGCTAGACGCGTGTTACGCGGTCGTTTGTGTCTCGCGCGCGGTTTCTATTTTTGTCGTGCGCGGTTTCTATTTTGTCCTGTGTCGAACGTTCGGTGTGTCGCAGGTGTGTGCAGCAAACCCATCAAGAACTCAAGGATGAGTTTGTGATGAAGAGCCCGAGCCTTGGTGTCAAGCCTCAAGTGATTTCGAAGCTCGCCAAAAGGGTACACCTCAAGATATTGAAGATAGTTACATTACTTTGTGTAGTGTAACATTTCACTTGGTGTAGGCCCTAGTGAAGGGTAGTTTCGAGACCCTTCGTGGTTGGGGACAGTGTGGCACTGTTCCACATCACTGTACCTCGGTTCTTGGGGTTTGTAGGAGCTGGGAGTCATTCCCAACTCGTAACTCTTCATATCTCTTCCTATTTTGTGTTCTAAGACTATAGTGGCTGCCATAGTGCTGTTCGTTCAAACCGACACTGTGTCGTCAATACTTGGTGACAATGTGCGATCTAAATTGCCTATTGTAGGCGACGTTCAGACACTCTAGATCCAAGTTGAATCAGGTCATTTGAAGTTGTGACCGGAACGCTATGAACGTTTGAAGTCGCTGTGCAGAAATCCGGCTGTGCACTCTATCTTTCGTTTTAGGCACATTGGAGCCTTTTGTGACTATAACAGCAGTGACTGGAGGAGACTGAGTGGTCAGTGTGTACAGGCTCGACCCCGGCCGACGTGTAAACGTGGCCAAGTGTCGGCCCGTCCGAGCGTCCGTGCAGTGGGTCACCTGCTGGCTCGTAGGAGTGAACTGGTGAACCCCCGCATCCTGTAGGTCAGCACCACTCACCAAGTTCGTAGAGAACGAGGGTAGGTAAAGACCAGACAGGGTGCCAGAGGGGGCCGCCGGACACGGGAGGACAGTGGAGAAGTGAGCAAGGACAGGACCCCCAGAGGGGTCTGCCAGAGAGACTGCAACTGGCCGACCAAGCGGCGTGAGTGTGGTGCGGTCTCGAAAGAAGGAGCGAGAAGCCCTCGAGTCAAGGGTGAAGGTGTGGGAGGCCGAAGCCGACGCAGTACCTCAGAGAGCAGACTCACCAGCACCTGAGGAAGCAGATGCACTGGCACCTAGAGCAGCACCCTCGCTAGCACCTAGAGCAGCAGCCTCACCAGTACCTAGAGCAGGAGTCCCAATGCCCGGGTTGGGCGGAAAACACCGGTAACAGTCAACCTCATCACTAATAGTCACAGCATACATGGCAGCAAGAATAGCATCAAAGTCAAGGTCAAAGATAGCAACTTCCGCCCTAGACAGCTCGCCCCAGCGAGGGATCTCAGTGGCCTCAGGAAACTGGTGACGCCAAGCGTCCGTCAGGCGGCCAAAGCAGCGCTGGGTGGAGTGCGCACCCCCGCACGGCTCACCCGCGCGGTCGCCGGTGCGTAGGACGTAGGTGCACAGACCAGTACCCCCACCCCACTGGCGTGCACCGTACCACTCACGAAGCTGCTAAGGGGGGGGGGGGACCTCATGAGTACGCTGCTGCTGCTGGCGTTGACCACCACCGGAGCCGACCCTCTGCGCAGCGCCACCCCGACCAGCTCCACCTCCTCCGCCGCCGCCTCCTTCACCACCGCCACCTCCATCGCCGCCACCTCCTCCACCTCCCCTCCCACCGCCACCGCCGCCGCCGCCTCCGCCTCCACTGCCGCCACTGACGCCCCCACCCTCGCCACCACCCCCACCGCCACCCCCACCCCCTCCGCCGCCTCCACCACCGCCTCCACCGCCCCCGCTAGCTCCTCGAGCGCCCCTGCCCCCCTTGCCCTTGCCAGTGCGGCGTCTCCCGCTAGGGGCAGACGCCGCACCGACCGACTCAAGACCAACGAGTTCGGCCGCAGCAGCAGAGGCAACAGAGGGCAAGAGAGGAGAGGGGGAGCACCCCTCAAAGACAAGGGCACGAGGGTCACCACGAGAGGCTCCTACAGCGACTATGCTCTTCTCTGCTGCTAGGAGGCGCTCCTCGGGGAGGTCAACGGTGAGAGTGGTGGGGCAAACAAAGAGGAAGTGGTCCTTGACCAGGCAAAGGGTGTCAGGGAGCCGGCTGACTATGTAGTAGAGGGTGATGTACATAGGGGGAGGGGTTTTTGGCGCAAAACTCAGCGGGAAGGGCAGCGCGGTAGCGAATGTCACAAGTGCGAAGGTCTGTAATGAGGTCAGTGACTGTGGGAAAAGCAGCGAGGTCAGGGAAGAGGTACGGCAGGATGAGGCGGCTAAGTGCAGCAGTGGCAGGGGAAGAGTAGCGTGCAACTACAGCGTCGTACAAGGTCCTAGCACTCTTGTACTGGCTAAAGTGTGTACGCTCAGAGGTAGGCAAGTGGCGACGCACAGTAAGACGTGCAGCAGCATCGCGTGTGGCCCACTGTGAGCGAATAGTGGCGTCACCATCAGCACCAGGGGCAGGAGAGGCACCAGAAGTGAGGTCAAAGAGGGAGAGACCGTCTGCCCTATCGCACTGTAGGAAAAGCTGCAGGTCATCTACCCAGACGTCAAAGTCAATGGCCCGACCCTCAGCGTCAAAAGCGAGGACGCTGGGGGTAGCCATGACAGAAGTAGACTAGCAGCGCGAGCAGTAGGCTAAGGGCAGCGTAGTGGTAGAGGTGCCGCTCTTACCGGACAGGGCGGCTCGGGCGGCTCGGCGGTTTGACGGCTCGGCAACAACTGCAGCTCGGCGGCTCAGGCGGCTCGGGTGGCTTGGCAGCAGCGACGGCTTGGCGGCTCGGGCGGCTCGGGTGGCTCGGGCGGCTCGGCAGCAGCGGCGGCTCGGCAGCACAGCAGCAACGGCGGCTCAGCGGCGCCGGCGGCTCGGTAGTGACGGTGGGGCCGCGTAGGGTGGCAGGGCCGCTGAAGGGACGGCGGCGGGGCTGGGTGGGTCGGCGACAAGGCCGCTGAGGGCGGCGGCGGGGCCACGAAGGGTGGCGACCGGCGCCTTAAGGGTGGGGCTGTGGGGTCGCAAGGGTGGGGCGATAGGGCCAGCAGAGGCGGCGCCGGGGCCAGAAGAGCGGCGCCAGGGCCGCAAGGGTAGGCGACGGGGCTGCGAGGGCGGCGTGGAGGGGTCGCTAGGGCGGCTCGAAGAGGCCGCGAGGGCGTCGCGAAAGGGCCGCAAGGGCGGCGCAACGCGTTGGGGCCGCGAGGACAGCGGAACGGGGCCGCGTGGGCGGCGCGACGAGGCCGCGAGGGCGGCGCGACGTGATGGGGCCGCGAAGGCGGCGCGACGGGGTCGCAAGGGCGACTCGACGGGGCCGCTAGGGAGGCGCGACGCGACGGGGCCGCTAAGGCGGCGCGACGGGGTTGTAAGGGCGGCGCAACGGGGTCGTGAGAGGGGAGCGCGACTCGGGCTGAGGCTGAGCGCGCTCCGGGCAGGAAAAAAAAATCGGTGGGCCCTAGGAACAGTTCCCACAGGGGAACCTGCTCTATACCATGTGAAATTGAACGAGAATGAAAAGACTAAGGGAAAGTTGGGTACAAGTACAAACCCTAGAAAGCTGTACCCCATATGTGCTACCCCACTATAGCCTACACCAGCTAAGTCATATAAATCTGACATGGAGCGAGGTTTGGAAACAGGGTTGAGGTTTGGGACCGGGTTGGGTAGAGTGAGGTTTGGAGACAGGGTTGGGTGAAGCAAAGTTTGACGAGAGGTTGAGCCCCACGAGACGGTTGAGCCCCACGAGACGGTTGAGCCCCACGAGACGGTTGAGCCCCACGAGACGGTTGAGCCCCACGAGATGGTTGATGCACCTCACAGACACTCCCCAGGAATGACTCACCCACGCATCTCAACACCCGAGCAAGTTTTCACTTCAGTTATTACACATTGCGTTTCTCACCTCATCCATGTCAGCGGGCGGCAGCATATACTTGATCCGATCCATTTGCCCCTCGAACAGCACGCGGTGCTACTTCTCCGCCAGCGAGGCTGCCACGCTGGCTAGGATCTGCACGGCTGGCAGGTGCAGGATCACCTCAAATGCCAGGTCAAATTGTCTCCCAAAAGAAACTCTGTAACCTCCTCACATCGTCTCTCAGTGGGGGATAGGGAAGAGGGGCAACCAGAGTATCGGTCACCAGATGCAAGCTGGCGTGGATGTGCATGGCTCGCAGGTGCAGGGAGTTGATCACCTCCAGCGCCAGGTCGAATTCGGTCACCAGGAACTTGGTCACTTCAACACGCCGCCTATCATTAGGTGAGGAGTATGGGGAGAGGAATATTGCGCTTCGGCTGGTAGTTAGATATGCACGACTGGAAACAACCGCTGCAGCCGATACTGGCGAGAAATACACACCTTCCCACAAACCCGCATGCACACAGTCTCCCCAAAAACACTCATGAGCTGGTTCTGCCGTCACTGGGAGCACCAAAGAGAGCCACGCTCCACGGGGGGCCTTCCTGGCAGCCCCCACCAGAGGCACACCGCTGCTGTCCCTCCTACTGCACACCCCCACCACCCTCACACACTCCCTCAAACCCTCTCCCAAACACGCACTTACTTGCTGGTCCGGCCATCACTGGGAGCACCAAACAGAGCCACACTCCAAGACACCTTCCTGGCAGCCCCCACCAGACCAGAGGCACGCCGCTGCCCTCCCTCCCACTGCACGTCCCCACCACCCGCACCACCTCCACCTGCACCTCTACCAACCGCTGCAGCTGGAAAAAGATCCTCGTCCGAGATATTTGCTGTCGCCGCCCCTGCTTGCTTATTAATGCCAGGCTGGCAGCTGTGCTGGCAGCAGTGCTGCTGCTTCTGCTGCTGTTAGTGCTGCTGCTGGTGTTGCTGCTACTGCCACCACTGCTGCTGGCACCTGCTGCTGCTCCAGATATACCTACTCCTCCTACAGCAGCTACGCCTGCCCCAGTACCACCTGCACCAGTACCACCTGCACCAGTACCACCTGCACCAGTACCACCTGCACCAGTACCACCTGCACCAGAAGTGCCAGTAGCAGCGGAGGAAGAGGAAGTGGCAGAGAAGTTGAGTGTCTTGCCGGCAGCAAGAGGGCCGACCAACGCTGCCAGGTCTACTGCTGCATTCTGTCTAGCCTCCGATCCCTTTCCAACGAGCAGCTCAAGAAAGGGGTGGGTGGAACGGGACGCACGGGGCGTGTGGGAGGAACTGATGCAATAGCTCCAACCCACCTGTGCCTGCTGCAGGTGTGCTGTTGCGGTGCGAAGATCGGGCGAGTAAAGACTGATGCAGGGAGAAGAAGGGGGCCGGTCGGAGGGGGTGAGAGTGGCGGGGAAAAGAGAAGGAGGCAAGCTATGGGATTGACAAGGAAGAGCTGCATGCTTCAGAACCCGGCTAAAAAGTGAGAGAGGAAGACAAGGGGAGGATGGAGCGGGGAGAGCGTGGCGGGAAGAAGGCGCAAACAGCTGGGTATGACAAGCAAGGCTTGAGTGCTGCAGAGACCTGCTGTCGCGTAGTCTCTGCTCTGGCTAACAGCAAATAGAGACAGCGGAGGAGAGGAGAGTGAACACGGAAGATTGGACTTGAAGGCCAGTAGATACCGAAATTAACATGCAAAACTTGATTGCTGCACAGCCCTGCTGCCACATAGTCTTTGGCTAACAGCTGACGGAGAGAGCACAAAGCGGAAAGATGGAGGGGACAAAGGAAGAACAGAAAATATCCATTTAACAAGAGAAGGGTTCAATGCTGCTACCACATAGTCGTTGGCTAGCAGTGATGGAGAGAAAAGACGGGGGGGGATGATGAACTGTGGAGGGGTTGATTGAGAGCGGAGGGGGAAGGAGAAGGAGGTGTTGGGAGCGGAGGGGGATTGACAAGGAAGAGCTGGATGCTGCACTGCCCTGCTGTCGGGATAACAACTGATGGAATGAGGGGATGAGTGGCGGTTAATGTCAAGTGCCTGGCGACTCTCACGATAGCGATAAGCGATAGCGATCACGTCTGGACATGAACGGGAGGAGATCCTGAGGGGCATGCTGCAGGGGAGAAAGAAGGGCAGATCGTAAGACAAGACAAGGCAGGCAGGTATGAATGTTGGAGAGATGAAGAGTACCCAAGCTGCTTGGGTAATCAATCAGGTTGAACTTTGTTCAAGACTTTGAAAGCAGGTGCCACAGAAGAGCAACTCAGAGTACAAGACACCTGAGTTGCTACCTAGATCGCCGTCCCATGGCCAGAGGACGTACCACCCAACACCTTCACGCGACACAGCCGCAATCCAACCCACCACCCGCCGACGTCGACATGACGGACGTTCCGAACCCTGCTAGCCCGGGTGGTGATGTCCGCCCGGTAGGCCGTACACCGACCAGTAACCCCTCATCGACGTTGCCGCTGCTTTACGATCTCGACGCCCTGGCCCAAATCCCGGTGGGAGAATTCACCAAAGACATTCCGCCCGCGCCCATAGAGGAGTTTACAAAATCCCGCAAAACGTCGGCACCGACGGGTGCAGGGGACGCGGGACCATCGTCGGTGCCGGACGAATCAGGCGACCAGGATGAGGAAGACTACTCATCGGCGAGCGACGAGGACGACGAAGACGACCCACGGCCCCGATGTGGTGCAGGTCCGCGCACGTTGGAAGAAAAACTCAAGGGGGAACGTGCGTTCATAGAGGAACTGTTGGATGAGGACGAGCTTGAGGATCTGTTGCACACGTCGGTCCCTCGAGAACTGTGGAAGGCGGCCGACTTTGTAGAGGAAGATATGGTGTACGCGTGCGTCGATGTGCTCGTGATGGAGGGTAAGAGCACCCTCAAGTCCTACACCTCATGGATTTACCACTACAAGAGGTGGGCGGCGAAGATGCTTAAAAAAATAGGCGACAAGCTGTCGGCAGAGGAACAAACAAGGCACGTCGACGAGATCGGGCACTGGACACACAACAACAAGAACAAGGATTGGGACAACGAGAAGGTGGTCAAACGGAAGCACATCTGGCTGCACGACCCCCGGGTCACTATTACGCGGCTGCGCGCCTACATCAAGTTCCTGAGGCGGGAGTACAAGATCGACGCCGAAACGAACGCGCCAGTGCAAGCCTACACGGTGCACATGATCCTCGGCCGTATTAAGGCCTGCCAGATGGCGGCGAGGGTGGAGGCGACGCTCTACAAGGAGAAGGAGTTGGGCATCATGCGGGAAATCTCGGTGGTCCGCTCGGAGGTGCGGGTCATGATCCGCACCAAAAATTAGAGGGACATCAAGTAAGTTGGCATACAGCGCCGAGTTATATTGCCATCGATTTGTGGTCCTCGCCCTAATAATCGTATCCCTATGTTGTTCTGTCGACAGTGATTGCGCCTACCGTCGACGCGGCACCATCGGCGGCACGTACACCGCCGAACATGACGAGGGTGCTGCCGACTTGGGCGGCGTCGGCATGGTGCCCGCGGTTTACCACTCCTTCGCAGACGCTGTGGAGGTTTCTTCTCGTCAAGGTGCTCACGCTACTCTCCCACCACAGCCTCATGCGCGGTGCAAGCATCCGCGAGATAACGCTCCCCGACATCTTCTGGTACCGATTGGCGAGCACCTCCTCGGTGAACTCGAATAACCAGCCGGTCGTCATGGTGGTAGCCGCGCGGAACTCGAAGACGTCGAAGGATGCGCGTCTTCAGCAGAGCTACGCGGCGCGGCACCTCGAGGCGGAGTTGTGCGCCGTCGGTGAGACCGGCCTGTGGTTACACTTCATCCTCGACCAGATCGGCCAGTTTCACGGCGTCGACCTCATTCCGCCGGTCGACACCAGCACACGCGAGCGCTGGTACAAGAAGCACCTTTTCTTTGCCCGCAATGACCCTGAGCAGCACGAACTCCCAGCTCCCAGCCACCAGCGATGGACGAGGCAGATGTGGAAGACGAACGGGGTGTTCTGCAAGCGGAACGTCCATGCCGCTCATGCAGGCGGGGTGCAGGAGCTGGCCATCGACGGTACGTCTCGCGCCGAGATAGCCGAGCTGGGTCACTGGGCTATCGACAAGATGACTCGAGCCTACATCACAGCCATTCCCGTCGGCGTGGTGATGAAGAAGGCCGGCTATTCGGGTTTCACGCAGGACTACTTCTAGGGTCGCAGCAGGGTGGAACCCACGTCCGAACTCCTGGATCTCATCGCCGAGCACATATTCCTCGGCGTGGACGACCTCCTTAAGAAGGTATTTTTATCGGTGCCGACCATTCCTCGCATGGTATCGTCCTTCCGACCGACGGTGACCACCCACTTCCGTTGTCTAATTGCAGGCGGAAGAGCTCGCTAAGAAGGGGTCCGACGCCGACATTGCCGCCGTGCATTTCTGGAGGTCCTCGGCGACAATGCAGCGAAGTCAACAAGCTCAGCCACTAAGGCAGACGCAGCAGTGGACTCAAAGGAAGGGTCAGTGATACCAGTAGCCAGGAGACGCGTGACAGTAGGACTGGCAGCACGAAGAGAGTCAGACTCAGGGTCAGCAAGGACAAGAAGAGAGGACTCTGGAGGAGACGGCAACGGGACACGAAGGGGAGCAGTGGAAGGACGCAGTGCCATCTGGTGTGTGCCCGGAACCGCAGGAGGACGCGGACGGGGAACAAGACGACTAGTGCGAGCAGTGCGATTAGGTGACGCAGGACGAGACGCAGGCTCACGACGCTCAGCAAGACCTCCAGTAGGACCAGTGTAGGGAGAAGGAGCAGGTACAGGGGAGGCGGGCTGTAACTGTGACTGCGACTGGACAGGCTGTGGACACTCTAGGGGAGGAGCAGGACCAGTAGAAGGCGGGAGACCAAGAACCTGCTCAAGGAGCGGAACGAAGTACGGCCGCGGCCGCGCAGCGCCTCCAAAACCAGCAGAGACAGCACAAGTACCCCCAGTGGCAGCACCAGCGCCAGCAGCACCTCCAGCTCCAACAGCGCCAACTCCAGCACCCTCAGACGCACCAGCGCCAGCAGAACCACCAGCGCCAACACCCCCAGCAGCTCCAGCTCCAGCAGCTCCAGCAGCACCAACTCCAGCAGGACCGGCTGCTCCAGTACCGCCAGCAGCTCCAGAAGGACCAACTCCAGCAGCCCCACCAGCACCCCCAGGCTCAGCAGCTCCAGCACCGCCAGTACGAGCACCTCCCGGACTAGTAGCAACAGTAGTACCTCCAGCTCTAGCAGCACGACTCCAGGGCCGGGCAAACCACTCGCGCAGCTCCTGTGGAGAGAGTGGCTCCCGCCTCGATGAAGCTCCGCCGGCGGCCACACGAGCAGACCCAGCGCCCGCAGGCTCCGCACCCCCAGGCTCCGCACCCCCAGGCTCGAGACCCCCAGGCTCAACACCTCCAGACTCAGCACCCCCAGACTCAGCACCCCCAGGCTCAGCACCCCCAGGCTCAGCACCCCCAGACCCGGCACCCGCAGGCTCAGCACCTCTAGCAGCAGCAGAGTCAACAGCTACCTCGACAGGCTCGACTGCATCTACCTAGGACACACCTCACGGGGCAGGACCCTAAGGGGGGAGGGGGTCTACCGGGGGAGGACCTGGTGCAAGGAAGAGCGGCGGCGGAAGAAGGGGCGCGGCGCGGTAGGGGAAGAGACGGTAGTAAGGCACCGACTCGTCAAAGGTGACGTCCTGGGAGGACAGAACACGGCGCGAGGTGGGGTTGGTAGAACTGCCAACCAGGCGCGTCAGGGGGGAAGCCAAGGAAGACGCAGGGAACAGCACGGGGGGACAGCTTGTCCGCAGACAAGTCGCGGACAAACGCCCGAGATCCCCAGACCCGAAATGCAGACGCATCGCCAACCTTCCCCGTCCACCGCAAGGTAGGGGAGGTCTCTAGCAAGGAGACCCGGGGCTGAAGGTTGAGCTGATGCGCTGCGTACTGAACCGCAAACGGCCACAGAAAATGGGGGGTAGCTGCATGGATCATGGACGTACGAGCGACGTCCATGACCATGCCAAAGCGGCGCTTACCAATCCCATTTTGCTGTGGAGAGGCCGGAAGCGTGAAGGTCTGACGGATGCCCTGTGCACGTCAGAAGGCTCCCAGACGGGCAGAGGAAAACTCCCCGCCTCTGTCAGAGTGCAGACGCAGAACAGGAAAGTCGGAGCCGAAACTCTCTCTGAGCTGGAGACGAGCTGCACGGATCCAGTCGATCAACACCTCAGTGACGTCGCCCTTGCTGCGCAAGGGGAAGACCGTGGTGTAACGCGAGTAGTCGTCAACCACCAACAGGAAGTAACGCTCGTGACCCTGGCCACGGACGCGAGCAGGGCCCCACACGTCCATGTTAAGAGTATGCAACGGAGCCTTTGTCGGAGGAAACTCGGAGGAGTGAGGGGCGGCGCGTTGTCGCACCTTGACGCAGGGGACGCAGGTAGGGGCAGGCCCCGGAGGTAGAGGAGGGAGAGACCGGGGGAGACCAGAGACAAGGACACGGGAGGCCATGCCTCGAAGACGAGGCAGGGAGGGGTGACCAAGGCGGTGGTGCCAAAGGAGAGTCTGGTGAGACAGGAGACGACACGAGCACGAAGCAGACTCAGGACCAGACCTGGACGCTGCAGCAAACACCTGACTCGACGCAGCGACCTGACTAGGCTCAGCAGCCGGAGGAGACTCAGTAGTGAGGGTGTACAGGCTCGACCCCGGCCGACGGGTGAACGTGGCCAAGTGTCTGCCTGTCCGAGCACACGTGCAGTGCGTCACCCGCTGACTCGCAGGAGTGAACTGGTCAACCCCCCTATCCTGTAGATCAGCGCCACTCACCAAGTTTGTAGAGAACGAGGGGAGGTAGAGACCTGACAGGGTGCTAGAGGGGGCTGCCGGACACGGTAAGACAATGGAGAAACGAGCAAGGACGGGACCCCCAGAGGGGTCCGCCAGGGAGACCGCAACCGGCCGACTAAGCGGCGTAAGTGTGGTGCGGTCTCGAAAGAAGGAGCGGGAAGCACCCGAGTCAAGGGTGAAGGTGTGTAAGGCCTGAGCCGACGTGGTACCTGAGAGGGCAGACTCA